TCAAACAAAGATTTGGCAGCTTGGACCGGTGGAGCTGGTGGGGTTTGGTGAGGAAATGTCAAACACAGATAATTCCAGGGGGCAGAACAAATCCCAGCTCCAACTGAGGGGAAAATCACCCAGGGTGAGGCTCAGGCACAGCAAAAGTTCCTGGGCAGAGTTCAGACCCAAATTCCCACTTTTCCCACCCAGATCGGGGCAGCAGCAGCTCCAGCAGCTGCCCAGGGGTGCCAGCCGTGCCCTGGGCGTTGATTTTAGCAAGGAAAACTTTCCAATCCGTTGATGCCTCCAGCTGGAGGGGCCCAGATTTGAGCTGGGAGGGCGCAGGAGCTGAGCAGGAGAGGCTGCAAACCCCAGGAAAGGAGGGGCGGCCCCAAAATAGGGGCTGGATGCTGATGCCTGGATTTTAGCATGGATTGAACCCAATTCCAACCCTCAGCAGGGGCTGGGAGTGACCCAGGGGGAACTGAGGTGACAATTTGGGGTCGTGGGTCCCAAACAGAGCCAGCACCAAGGAGTTCCTGGGGAGGGAGGTTGTGGGTAAAGCTGTGATGGGTTGGGGTGAAAACATCCCTGCCTGTGTGCTGTGTCCATCCCAGAGCCCTGCCCGGGAATGGGGACACAGCCCCGGGGTGCCCTAATTAGGGGCTGCCCTAACGAGGAGCCCCAGGGCCTGGCGCTGCCCCTCGGAGCTCCTGCAGAATAAAAACGAGCAGAACACAGGGAAGGAGAACGCTGCCAAGGCCAGCATTTGTTCCCTGCTGGATTTTTCATCCCTTGGGGTGGTCAGGAGGTCAGTGGGGATTGCAGAGCAGCCAGGAGGGAAGCCCAGACCCTCAGGGTGACAAAGGGAAAGGGCAGAGCTGGGGTTGGGTTTTTCCCTGCTACCTCCATTCCCTCAGGATGATTTTCCCCTAAATTTCCCCTGCTCTCTGCTGTGCTTTTGTCCTGCAGGCCTCTCCCAGAAGAGACAGGGATGGAGTCTCTGGGGAGCCCCACGGAGGATGAAACCACGTCCTGTAAGTACCAAATTCTGCAAGCCCAGGGGAGCTGCCAGGCAGGGAGAAAACCTTGGATTCTCCACCAAAAAAAATTTAAAAATTCTCACGTGGGAGAGGAAACCAGCAGGGATTTGAAGTTGTTCATCCATCCTGAGGATTTGGGGGAGGAAATTGGGATTCCCATCCCAGTGCCTCCCAGTAGGACCCAGCACCCTGAGGGCTCCAGCTCCATGTTCCAGCAGGAATTAATTATCCTTCAGGATGCCTTGCTCTGTGCCTCCAGAATGGGTTGGAATGCCAGGCTCTTTCTTGTTCTAAGGCCAGGAGGAATAAACCTCACGAGACCTTTATGAAATCTCACTCCAGAGTGAGACTTCAATATTATCTTTATTTATTGCAAACTTACGAGATGTGAGCTCTCTCTAACATGTTGAGAAAGTGAGCTAAAATGGGGTTTATCCAAGGCTATTTAAGTCTAAATTCTTTAATGATTGATATCTATATTATTTATATACAGTTGATATCTATATTATATAGATATATAACAGTTGATATCTATATTATTTATATTTATAGTTGATATCTCTATTATTTATGCTTCTAACTCAATTATGATTACTGGAAACCTGCAGCACAGACATAATGAGAGAAAACTGAAGAAGACGGAAGAAGAAAGTGCAAAAATGACAATTAACCTACCCAACATTTTCTACCTTGGTTTCTATGTATTACTGTGCACTAAAGCCCCAAATCTAAGGGTTGTTTTACCTTGTGAGATCACACAGCCCTGCCCAAACCCCACACGCCCTGCCGGTTCTGTTTTCCTCTGAACTCCAGCTCCCCCCAACACCCTGAACTTCAACGGGGCCCATCGGAAGAGGAAGACCCTGGTGGCACCCGAGATCAACATTTCCCTGGACCAGAGCGAGGGCTCCATCCTCTCTGACGATTTCCTGGACACCCCAGACGACCTGGACATCAACGTGGACGACATTGAAACCCCCGACGAGACAGATTCCCTCGAGTTCCTGGGCAACGGCAACGAGCTGGAATGGGAAGGTCAAAAAAACATCATTTTTCAAAGTTATTACGACTGTGTGTTAGTAAAATAAAATTATGGATATATTCATAATAAAATAAAATTTAAATGATTAATCAATCGGCCCCAAAATAAATAAAAATAATGAATAAATTGGCCCAGGTCAAGGCTGGAGGCAACGAGCTGGAATGGGAAGGTAAAACAACCCTGGTTCTGGCTGAGCATTTCCAGGGGTTGGGGTGGTTTGTTTAGCCTCACTTTAAAGATTTTTGTTAGTAAAATTATGAATATATTCATAATTAAATAAAATTTAAATTATGAATAAATTGGCCCAAAAATAAAAATGATAAATAAATTGGCCCAATTTATATTATATTATAGAAATAACTTTAAAATCTCCCTCTGATAAGCAGAGGGAGATTTTAAAGTTATTTCTATAATATTTGGGCAGCAGAGCAAGGTTAAAACCTGTAGGATTGTACCCTCTTCTGAATGGTTAGGTGAATTTATACAGCATCATTTTTCGAAGTTATTGCAACTGTGTGTTAGTAAAATAAAATTATGAATATATTCATGATTAAATAAAATAAAAATGATGAATAAATTGGGCCAAAAATAAAAATAATGAAGAAATTGGCCCAAAAATAAAATAATGAATAAATTGGCCCAGATCACGGTGAAACCCCACCAGAGCATCATCCCTGAGCGTCCTGGGTTGACAAGAAAGTGAATTTTTTGGGAGCCCCATTGGGAACCGGCATTCCCAAAGCTCTCCCCAATTCCTCCTCAAGGCAAGAGCCCTTTGTGCCTTTCCCAGATGACACCCCGGTGGCCACGGCCAAGAACATGCCAGGGGACAGCGCGGACCTGTTTGGGGACGGGGGCACCGAGGATGGCAGTGCCACCAACGGGCGCCTCTGGAGAACCGTCATCATCGGCGAGCAGGAGCACAGGATCGACCTGCAGATGATCAAACCCTACATGAGGGTGGTGACGCACGGAGGTGAGCCCAACCCCTCTGTCCCTCTGTCCCTCTGTCCCTCTGTCCCTCTGTCTGTCCCACCAAGGCTGGCTGGGCTCTGTTTGGGGGGGAAAATTTGGCGTTTTTTGGTAGAGAAGCACCGAAGTGCCCAGATGTAGCTAAAAACGTTTAGCGATTGTAGAATTATCGTCTGGAGGGATTGTGCCAGTCCTTGTCCACACATGTGCAGTCAGGTTTGTTTCCAAAATCCAAGCAAAGCCAAGGGGCAATCCAGCTTTAAAACCCCCAAAATCCATTCTCTGAACCCCAAACCCAGGAGGAAATCTCACAGTGGAAAATACCTGAAGAGAGAAACGCTCACCTGGAGCTGAGCAGAGACACAAAAACCACCCCAGGGCCAAATTTCAGCGCTGTTTTCCCCTCAGCTGTCCCGTTTTTGCCTGGAAAGTGTCACTTTGGTGGTTTTTTTGGGCAGGATACTACGGAGAAGGTCTGAACGCCATCATCGTCTTTGCTGCCTGCTACCTCCCCGACAGCAACCTGGCAGATTATCACTACATCATGGAGAACCTCTTCCTGTGAGTGCCCGGGAGGGACAGCAGCCTGGGGGAGCTCTGGTTGTGGGTTTGTCTGGGTTGGGATTGAAGGAACTTGAGGCAGGAATTGGTGTTTGGGCTCAGGTGTTTGTTATTTTTTAGCAGTGAAACAGTCTCTGTACCGTGAGTTGGGCAGCAAGGCACAAAATGGCCAACAATCTCTTGGTACAAGAGATTTTAAGAGTAAACCATCCAATTAAGAGTTGACACCTGGATTATTTTCCCTTTTAACCCAATAACTGATCCCAATGTGGATTTTTTTCCACCCAATTACAAAATGCCACCCAAACCCAAGAAGAAGAAACCCAGGACGACACCCTGTGCCCTCCATCTTGCTCCCATCCACAACACACTAAAAACCCCAAAACCTCAATTTCTCACCAAGTGATCCACCTACACCACCGTCTATAATCCATTTCACACTTTTGTGGATTATATTTTGAAGTTTGGGAAATTTTCTCCATGGATGAGGGTCAAAGACAG